GACTGGGTAAGCAAATCAAGCGCACCGTCTCTGCAGTTCCCTGCATACGACCACAGAAATGACTAAAAGCAGGAACCTGGTTGGACAGGTGTGTTTATGATGTGACCTTTCCAGATGAAACCACTTAATTTCACTACTTTTTTCTGCCTCTGCCCCTCCCAGCGCTGTCCAGCCTCTCCTCCCAGTCTCCCCCGTCCTCACCCTTCGTCACCCCCTCGGCGGAAAACCCTCCCCCGCTGCTGCCGCCGCTGCCTGCCCTCCCCACTGACCTCAGCCGGCCGCAGCACGAGGTCGACAAGGCCGACAAGGCGGCCGGCGAGTCGCAGCGCCCGGCCGAGGCGGAGACGGAGCCTCTCGGCCAATCGGAGGACGAGTCGGAGAGCTTCGGCCAATCGCTGAGCGGCCCCTGGGAGCCGAGGGCGTGGCCTGAGGGCCGGCAGGTGCTGACTCACCTGGTGGAGGGATTCGTTATCCAGGAGGGACTGCAGCCGTTCCCAGTACGTTTTACATCCCAGTGGAGAGGAGGGAGTCCAAACTGAACAGAGCTCAGAGGTTACACGACTGATGCTAGCGACAGTTAGCATGCTAGCATTTCATTTAATAAGTGTTTCCCTGATTTTGTTAAATTAATGATGATAGTTAGTAAAATCACAGAAAGTGTCACAGTTACTGTCATCATATCAGCATCATGCATGGTACAACATTTAGCCACTGTGACCAAAGTTACAGGATTTGTTTACAGTATTTAACAAAAAAAAGCATAAAGGTATTTTACTAATATTTCTCATCTTTTGAAAGAAAAATTCTGTTTGTTAAGGTTTTAAATCAACTAAAACATTTTATTTTACACAAATTCACTGTTGTTAAAAAGTGAAAATCTGCTGAAAAAAAATGCTGAAAAATATGTATTTTTACTAAAATTTACAAAAATGGTAAATTATGTTATTGTGGTTACAGATTTTCCCTGTTTTTGTGAAATGACAGATAAAATGTCGTAAAATCACATTTAAAAAGCATTAATTTACATGTTGACAGTTAAACAAAAGGTCAAAACTGTAAATAATGTACACATCACAAATCTGTCTGTTTATATCTGTAAAATTACAGTTTAACTCCATTTAAATCACCGTAATCAGGTAGAAATGGTTATTTTAGCTGTTTATTAAAAGTAAAATGATGAACATTAAGGATTCATAAGCACTCGGTGTTCTGTCTGTGTCCTGGCGGATGCAGCTGTATATTTACGTACCTGTGCGTTCGTCGTACAGGTGAACCGCTCGTCCCTGCTGGTTCCAGAGCAGGTGACCAAACCACAGGAAGTGAACGGGACCAATGGGAGGGCGGCGTTGCCTGTGACGGAAACGATCAAGCAAACCGAGCACTCCACGGACTCAGACGAAGAAGAAGGAGGAGACACGGACGACGCCGGGACCAGTAAGACTTTAATCAGCCGTCATTAACTATGAGTTGCATTTTAACTGACGGACAGTCGTCTCGAGGCAAAGTCGTAAAAATCCACAAATTAGCCGCATCGTTGTTTAAGCTGCAGTGTTCAAAGCGTGTGAAAGAAGTAGCGGCTTATCGTCTGGAAATTACGGTAGACACAGTTTAAAAATGTTCAGTGTGGAGGTTTTTTTTTTTTTTTTTACGGTTACCGTAAATTAATACGCTTGCAAGAAAAGTTCGCAATTTTAATAACTATCATTTAAATGTTGTTTTTTTTTAACCTGCAATGTTGGATATTTGTCGCCCCCTTCTGGCAGTCAACATGTAAATAATACGACTGCAAATTTCTTCTTTTTTTTTTTTAACCAGACATGTCTAATGTTTGTTGCCCCCTTCCGGCAGTGAGAGTAATTACACACATATTGTTGATGTACAATGATGGCGTCATTAATCTCCTACATCGTTGGACAGTAGCTCATCCTCTAAATGTTTGGCTGGAGGTCATTAACCTCCACGTTAGTCTCTGTCATGGTGACGCCTCCTCTGGTCTCTGCTGCATTAAACAGTGAGAGGCTCCACCTGGTGGAACAACCAGGTACTGCAGCTTGTCTATGACACGTTCACCAGAGCAGCAGAGGATTTCCAGGACCCTTCTTTGTCATCGACTGTTAGATAAAACAGCGACCCCTTGTGTCTCCAAAGGGAACTTCAACATGAGCAAAAAATGAGTGGAAACAACATTTTAAATCCAGAACTTGTTGGTTGGAAAGTATTATTTTGATGGAATAAACCCTTAAAACCACATATTGCTTCATAGAAAGAACTTCTGGGGTGGAATTCACTTTAAACTCTCAGTGTTAAGGACAGAATTTGGCAGGCGGCGACACACGAGGGTCCTGGAAGTGTAGCTGTGGCTCTGAAAGTGAAGCCTCGTCTGCTGCAGACACGTAAAACTGGAAACGCTGGTTTTCACCGACGTCTGGAGCTTCAGGAGGTTCCTGAGCTGCTACGGGGCGTTCAGGAGCATGAACATGGAGACGGAGTTTAGCAAGTTTAAAGCAGGGATCTCCGGCTCCGGTCCTCGTGAGCTTTTAGACGGACTGGAGGTGGAGATCCCTGATGTAGAGAAAACGGGTTCGTCCTTGTTTCTCCGCCTGTTTCAGCTTTAGGTTCCTGAATTCAACAGAAGAACGCTGCAGAATTAGGACAGAATGTGGAACTTTAACTGTTTCTGGTGAATTTGTCCTCGACACGTCTTAACGGTGCGACACGGTGACCAGAGGAGCTTCTGGGAAATGCACTGTGTGAGTTTTTCGGCTGACGGTGGTCTTGTTTCTCGTCCACACAGGGTCGAGCCACAGGGACCGAACGGTGCTGCACTGCCAGTTCTGCGGGAAAAGAGGCCACGCCCACAACTTCATGCGGTCCAAGCGCTTCTGCTCCACTTCCTGTGCACGCGGGTGAGACCTTGTTTGGCGGTCACGTGACCTGGGGGGTTTTGCTGTCGCAGGATGTGGTCGCTGAGACGCACAGGTGCAGATGTGAGTCCGGGCAGCAGAACCAGGAAGTTTCACCGCTTCTCTTCTCCGGCAGGTTCAACGTTCGCCTGACGAAACGCCTGCGAGCCCTGAGCGCCGGCAGTCGATCCGAGAGGCCTCGGCCGGCGCTGAACCGGGCCGAGTCAGTGCCTGGGAAGCCTCTGTTACTGCGGCTGGTAGGGACCCTGAACTCAGCACAACCAGTAGAAGCACCAGAACACCGAGTCAGAACCAAAGCCACCAAACCAGTGAATGCATCATCAGAGTTCAACGTTTTATCAGAAACTCTGCATATTTAAAATAACACCTGTTTAACTTTAGCTTCATGTATTAAATAGTTTGGACAAGTCGATCCAATAACATCCGAATGTGGGAGTTGAAATAAGAAAAAATCTGTCATGAAAAGGTCCAACATTGAGCTCATATTAACAAAAACATATGAACACAAGAGTCAGCGAGTGAGATTTTCTGAACGTCACAATAATAAAAGAAAACTAAACATCTAAGATACTCATGATGTGAAATACTTGGTCTAAAAACACAGGAGGAAAATGTTATTTTTGTTGGATTTTCATGACCTTTTTTTTTGCAGTTTCAAAATGAGAAAATATAAGAAAGTGATTGAGTTAAGTGTAAAAGGCATGTTCTTATTTTCGGGCTTTTCTTTTGAATAGTTCCTGAGAGATTCAAACAGCCTCAAGTTCCAATTTCAAAATAAACTGCCAATTTCTAAGATTCAAGGAACTTTATGTGTCATGGCAGCTCACAGTCACGTGTTTGTGGTATGAAATTAGAGCTCAGGTCCCGTTTTTTGTTTTTTTTTTAAGAAAAAGCCTAATAAATCATAAGTACAATCAAACAAGAGCCAAATATAAGTAAAAACACAGCAATATGGATTTAGTGTAAATCACACGTTTTATCTCTGTAAATGTTCAGATATCTTTTTAGTTATCGATAGTTGATGAATCAGAAGAAACCCAATGATTAGAGACGGAATAACCCAAAAATTTCCTGTCACTGAACTCTACGTGCAGCCGGTTTAACAGTGTTAGCAATGTTAAACATCAGCATGCTAGCAGTGTTA